GTACTGAAATTTGTGCTCCCCTATCTATTAGAAATTTTACCAAATGCTTTTGAGGACAGACTTCAATCAAAATACGCATGCCATTGTTGCTCATCCTTTGATCAAACTCCCCTTGCCGGACAGGCAGATCCAATCACCTGCTTGTAATCAGTCTTTGGTTGTTGTTTACAGCCTGAAGCAGTGATGGAGCACCTGGTGAGGGGTGTGGCCAGCCCTGCCAGCACAGCTGGAAGCAATTTGCCTGTGGGACCGGATAGGGCTGAGCTTAGCTCCACCCCCTCCCTGCCCATATTTAAGGGCTGGGAACAGCCAGGGCAGCATTCTGCTTGGGAACTGCCTCCTTGGGAGTATTGGGAGCCAGTTCTGTCCTTTGGAATGGGGTGAGTGATTGGTGCTTTATTGCAGGGCTCTGGTCTTTCTGCTTTTGGGGATCCTGACCTCTTTTAAGGGCTGGAAGCTGTAAGGGCAGCATTTCTCCATGGAGGCTGCTTCCTTTGGGGTGTGGGCTGAGTGTATGTTTTTGGAATGGGGTCATTGATTTCTTCTTTACTGCTGGATTGTAATTTCATTTTCTGGGGGGCGCCTGACCACATTTAAGGTCTGTCAGCAGAAGGAGCAGCAACTGCACCTGGAGACTGCTTCCTTTAGAATGTGGGGTGAACCCTTGAAACTGGGTGAGTGAGTCTTTATTCCAGGGTTGCAATATCTTGTTGTTGGGGGGATCCTGACCCCACTTAAGGGCTGGCGGCCTTTAAGGTGGTATCTGTCTTTAGAGACTATCTCCTTGGGAGTATGGGGTGAGGTCTGGTCCTTGAGAAAGGATGAGTGATTCCTTCTTGTTTTAGGGCTGTGACCTTTCCTGTTTTTGGGGCACCATGACCACATTGAAGTGCTGGTAGATGTAAGGGCAATGTTGATCTCTGGAGACTGTCTCATATGGAGCAGGGGTGGGTTTTGGCCTTTGAGAAGGGTGTAAGTGGTTTCTTTGTTTTTCCTTTATGTCAGGCCTGCAATCTCCCTTTTTTTTTTTTTTTTTTTTTTTAGTATCCTGACCACATTTAAGGGGTGGAAGCCATAAGGGCAGCATCTCTACCTGGACACTGCTTCCTTGGCAGTGTGGGCTGAGTGTTCATCTTTGGAATGGGGTAATTTATTCTTCCTTTATTTCAGGGCTGTTATGCACTGCTTCCAACCGTGCAGAGTTGTTTAAGGGCGTTCTGTGCGCCCTTAGGTGTAATAAATCTTCGTCTTTATAGAAAGCCAAAGATTGTCCTCTTCTGGGCTGCTGTACTCAGCATCACCCCAGCGTGATGAAGTGAAGACCCTGGTCTGCTGAATACTGGGACTGGCCCAGAGAGGCTCTGATGGATGTGGATTATCCCAGCCGGCGTACTTGGTACCATTGGTGGTGATCTCGTCCAACTGCCACAAAACGAACAGGAACATCCACAGCCAGATCAGGCTGCCCAGAGCCTGAACCAGCCTCACCTTGGAAGGGACAGGGCATCCATCATGTCTGGGTAACCTGTTCTGCTGTGTCACCGCCATCACTGTACAAGATTTTCTTTATATCTAGGCTAAATCTTTCCTTGTTCTTCCCTTCAGGTGTTGAAAGGCTGTTACCAGATCACCTCGGAGCCTTCACTTCTGCAGGCTGAACAGCTCCAGCTCTCTCTCTTTATAGGAAAGGCGTTCCATCCCTCAGTTCATATCTGTGGCTGTTTTCTGGATGTGCTCCAACAGCTCCATGTCTGTCCTGCGCTGCGGACATTCACATCCAGATGCAGCACCTCCAGGTGAGGCCTCACAGCGCAGAGCAGAGGGGCAGGACCAGCTCCCTTCGCCTGCTGACCACACATCTTTGGATGGAGCCCAGCATACGGTTGGCTTTCTGGGCCAGGAAGGTACATCGCTGAGTGCCACTACTCAGCCTGTTGAGATCCCTCTGGATGGCGTTGTCCCTCTGGTGTGTCACTGCACCCCACAGCTCGGTGTCATTAGCGTGCACTCAACCCCTCTGTTAATGTCACTGATGAAGGGGCATTCCCAGATGTTTGTGCAAACTCAGCAAAGAATACCTTGAGAGCAGCCCCACAGAGAGGGACTTGTGGATCCCGGTGGATGAGCCGGGATCCATGAGTGGACATCAGCCAGCAGAGTGCGCTTGCAGCCTAGAAGGCCAACTGTGTTCTGGGCTGCATTAAAAGAGGAGCGGCCAGCAGGGAGAGGGAGGTGATCGTCCCCATCTACTCAGCTCTTGTGAGGCTTCATCTGCAGCGCTACATCCAGGCCTGGGGCTCCCAGCACAGGAAGGACGTGGAGCTCATGGAGCGGGTCCAGAGGAGGCACTGAGATGATCAGATGGTTGGAGCAGCTCCCCTACAAGGAAGGGTTGAGGGAAGTGGGCTTGTTCAGCCTGGAGAAGAGAAGGCTTGGGGGTGAATTCATTGCAGCCTCACAGTACTTGAAGGGGGGAACAGCAGGAAGGGGAACAGCTGTTTACGAGGGTGGATCGTGATAGGACAAGGGGAAATGGTTTTAAACTGAAACAGGGGAGGTTTAGGTTGGTTATTAGGAGGAAGCTTTTCACACAGAGGGTGGTGACACATTGGAACGTGTGCTTCAGAGTCCCTTCCAGGAGGATCTGCTCCTCGATTCTTTGCAGCACAGAGGTGAGACTGATATGTTGGTGGTTCCCAGGGTCACACTTTATATCTGCAGTAACAGCTGTGCTGTTGCCTTTTTTCTGCTCACCAGGGACTTCACCTGACTGCCTCGACTTCTCAAATACCACTGAGAGTGGCTCGGTGACTGCAGCACTGAATTCCCTCAGAGCTCTGGGACTCGTCTCATCAGGACCCAAAGACTCCTGGATGCTCGGGTCCTCAGGTGGTCCAGAACCTGATCTCCCGTCATAGTGTGGGATAGGGAGGGGTCTGTGGGATCGGCATTGCTTCCTCAATCCCCACCTACTAAACCAAAGGTGAAGGCAGTGTATAATGAAAAGTTATCAGAGAAGATGGAAGATGGATGTTGTTGGGTACCTGAGCCTTCTCCTTGTCTGTTGTTCCCAGCTGCAGTGCTGCTGGTAAGCAGCATTGCGCACAGAGTGCAGCCACGTTGATCAGAGAAAGGAGTGCAGGTTTGTGAAAGAGGCACATCTGCAGGGCAGTGCCTTCATTACTGCTTTGTGTCCCACAGGTGGCAGCGGAGTTGCAGCGCTCCCGAGTGCCGTAACGACTGCATGGAGATGCGTGGCTCTTCATGGGAACAGCAAGGAACCGGAATCTGCATTTCCTGGAATGCCCCAGAACCGCGCTTTGCTGGCTGGTAATTGTCTGCCCAGCAGGTAAGGGTAATGCACACCCACCAATGTTTACCCACCCCATAGCACGGCACAGCACGGTGCTCCCAGAGCTCTTCATTGCACTTCATGGTGCCCTGGATGCTGCCTGTCCTTGTCTTTCTGTGTTCTCCTTGTCTCTGGCCTTTCACTGCAGTGTTTTCCTTCCCTTTGCCCTTGCTGTTCCCTGCTGCGTTGTCTTGCCCTCCTGTTTTTGTGTTCTATGCCACGTTCATTTGGCCATTGCCCTTGGCTTTCTTTGCCGCGTTCACTTCAGCATTCAGTTTTGGCATTCCGTGCCGTGTTCTCTCGCCCTCCTGTTTTGGCATTTCCTTCTCTTAGCCGTTGCCATTGGCTGGGCATTCTCTTGCCCTCCTGTTTTTGTGTTCCATGCTGCGTTCTCTTGGCCATTGCCCTTGGCTTTCTTAACCACATTCACTTCAGCATTCAGTTTTGGCGTTCCCTGCTGCGTTCTCCTGCCCTCCTGTTTTGGCGTTTCTTGCCGTGTTCTCTTGGCCATCATCCTTGGCATTTCCTTCCACGTTATCTTGGCCCTTGCCCTTGTCTGGGCATTCCCTTGCCCTCCTGTTATTGTGTCCCATGCTATGTTCTGTCGGCCATTGCCCTTGGCTTTCTGTAGCCGCATTCTCTTCAGCATTTGATTTTGGCATTCTCGGCAGCGTTCTCTTGCCCTCCTATTTTGGCACTTCCTGCCATGTTTACTTAGCCCTTGCCTGGGCATTTCATGCCGTGTTCCCTTGGCCTTTTGTTTTGGCGTTTTGTGCTGCGTTCTCTTGGCCTTTGCCCTTGGCCTTTCCTGTTGTGTTCTCTTTGGCTGTATATTTTGGCCTTTCCTGTTGCGTTCTCCTTGTCCTCCCCTTGGCTTTCCATTGGTGCTCTCTTTGCTTTTGCCCTTGCCTTAGCTTGGCTGTTTGCTTTGCATTTACCTTGGCTTTCCCTGGGAGTTCTGCTTTCCTTTGCCTGCCCTGGGTGTCCTGCTTCCCTTTGCCTTTGGCACTCTAGCATGAGCTGGGAGGCAGCATTAATGTTACCCTTGACCCTAAACCCACAGCTGAATGGGAGTTCTAACGATAACTGTGTTAACCTGCAGCGTATCTGTAGACCAAACCCTTAACCCAGTGTTGAAAATGTCTCTTACCCTGAATGCTGCCGTAAAAATAATGCCCCATGTTTTGTCAAATAACCATAATTGTAGTGCAGAATACTGATGTTAGACCATCTGTAACTTCAACCCTATCAATACCATTAATTCTATCCCTAACATTAATTATAATTAATTACAACCCCTGTGTTATCATTACAGCATTGTGCTCAGGGTGCAGCCCCACACATGCGGGGCAGCGCCTTCATTACTGCGCTGTGTCCCACAGGTGGCAGCAGAGTTGCGTTGCTCCTGAGCGCTGTAAGGACAGCA